GATGGTTAGAGATGCCCTGTTCGTGATGATAAGTATAGGGTCCGCACCTCTTTGTCAGCATTGTGATATCTGTCTTAAATGGTGAACCGACCCACATCGAACGCAGACATCTCAACAAGGGGAAAGAAAGGAGGACGTGCTGGATGAAGAACAAGGAGCTTTCGAACTAGTTTGGAGCCTTCAAATGAGGTTACGTTGTGGAGGGAATCAGTAAGGGCTTACCGAGGAGTAACTTCGCCCTTCACGCACTTGGTGGTGTTAAACGGCTAAACTAGAGGTGGAGTGACAAGTTTGAGAGTGCAGACATTGAGCGGGCGAGTGATGATTGGTGCGAATCATGAGGAGGACATCGTTGGCTCAGAAGGCAATTGGGTCTAGCGGCTGCGAGGGAGCTGCAGGATGCTAGTCCAGGATTCACGAGTGAGGAAACACCTTACTAAGAAGAGAGGGAGCGTGGTGCAGCGGAAAACTGAGCGGGCTCTTGACAGCTGTTTGTAAGCGCCCCAAAGGATGAGCAATCATGGCTCCATTCTCCATTGGTGGTGGTGCGTGATCCAGCTGGGACAGGTGGTTGTTTAAACAGCTGTCTCTTGCTTTGCGGCGCTGGAAACGGTTCTGGCGTGAATAGCAAGATCCAAATCAACTCACACCCAGCTAGGATTGAGTACAGCGGATCTGATGACCGTGAAAAGGTGAGCAACTTCATACCCATGAGTTTTTCACGAATCACGAAATGGGACATCTTCGTTAGGATTCAGTATCTCAGGAGAAAGTAGATACAGACTACGAATCCATCATACATAGACTCCACTAGTCGGTCAAATCTATTTGTTCTTGTTCATCATCCATCACTAATGGGAAGTCCGTGTGATCGATTTCGAGCTCGGAATAATTAACGGGAAATGTTGCGGCCACTTTAGCAGCTTGGCACCGCAGTTCATGAATGAGGTCCGGATCCAGGCTTCTCCAGGTAGGCTGCCAACACGGTGTTGATGGAGGAAGGGAAAGGATCTGTTGTTTCACCCTATCCCGAAATTGTTGATGTTCATGTCTTTCGGCGCAGCATCAAGTCCGATGTGTATAGCTTGAATGTCAGCCATGGTCCAAACCCCACAATCATACCCATTCCATTGGTGCGGTTCTGTCTGGGGCTTTTAATATATATGATGTTCACGATTCAGCGAGATGCACACCTACAGTGACTGCTCGAGTGGACCAATTGGACCAGTTGTATCCATGCTCATCATCAGGGTGGATGAATGACCAGGTGGCATTGACTAGTCCCTGAAGTATCTGATGAAAGAGGTATCATTGACACTGAGATGCGGGTTAGAGTTTGGGAACACACTGTAAACACCCACTGTGGACCATGACAGCCTATATGAGCGTTTTGCTGGAGAGGCATGCTGTCAAGATAGCACAGCTCTCGTTGTTTGAAGTTTACAACGCCAAGCAGCCAGTGACTGCACTTCCTTGAGTAGCATGGAATTGTCCAAGCGCTTGCGTCAAAAAGATCAGTTCGGACCTTCTTTGTGGCTCACTGAAGGTTGGTTAGTACAGGGTCCATCGGTGTAAGCATTCCCACATACATCCAACAGGTGAACTGCCATACAATGCCTCATTCCTTCACACTGAGTAGGAAACATGATCACGCGGGGGCGAGTAGTCTTGAGGATATCCCATAGCTTTTCGTCTGTAAGGTCTTGCAGCATCTCAATGTAGGCATCGATTATTGCTCCATGTATCAGCTGCCAGCGATTGACTGTCGGTAATGCATCAGGGAAGATCGCAATATGTTTGTAATATCTTGCTTTATCTCTTGTTTTGCTCTCATTCACTATCTAATGAGATATCAGTGGCATGAGTCACTGGGGAGCCTGGGAGGATTCTTACTTTTCTGGCGTCTTGAGGCAGAAGCAACTCCATTATTTCCTTCCAAATTTTGGTTGGCTGTTGTTGTTGGATGGACTGGGTGGGTGAACGGATGGCATTGAAGATTGTTGTAATTGGAGGAAGACTTTGGGGATGGGGGTTCTCATTCCAGAACTTCTCCTCAATACTTTTGTTGCAGCCGGGACTATCTGCATCTCTCAATCTTTGAGGAGGAACCAAGTCCGTAAGAGGTTCAGTGTGTGGATCAGGATTGTCAATGGGGTCCATTGTCTCATCGAGTCGTATCTCTGGTTCACCGTCTGAATGGTTTACGGGTATCTCAGGTTCGAGAGTATCACCTGGGCCACTGCCACTGTCAGTAGAGGGCTCGATATCATCAATATCGTCGTTGTCATCCAGCTCTGGGCTCATCCGGATAAGTCCAGTGAGTGCACTTAGTTCATTTGTGACTACAGCATCGTCTTCGGGGTCTATGCTGTGTGTTCCTGAGGATAGAGTTGCGGAACCAGGGGGGGAAGGCGGAAGGAGGAATACTCCATGGCACTCAGTGCAGCCTGGGGGTCTGAATGTTCTAGGTTTGCAAGCAGGTAGTGTGTCGATGCACGCCACAGATTGATGCAAGGAAATGGTCCATTCACAATTGTATCACGGCACTTGAGTAACAACTTGAGGCGTAGTTGCCATCGATATTTATAAAGAGCTGGAATCAATGTTAGTGTATTGGTGATTTGTGGGAATTGTAGGACATACGATGAATATCGTCTGTGGTCCGAATCATGGAGTCTACTGACTGGACGATCCAGGTGCGCGCGTTGAGTTCCTCTCGAGTGAGCCTAAGCTTTTCTTCCTCAATACAAGCGAGTGACAGCACTGCTACTATGCCATGGTGAACCTGCTGATCGACGATAAAGGCAGGTGGTTTCTCATCCAGGTTCCAGTTGGAAACCCACAGGCTCTCCCACATGTTTGTCCACTGCTCATCACTGGGATCCATGTTAAGCAGTATTTTGACGTCCATTTTGGTGTGCTTCAAAGAATCCGGGAGCCAGGAGGGCCTATCGGAATGCTCGAGGCTGTCAACAAGCTCGTTATATCACGTGACCTGGTCGGAAATAACGCGGGCACGGTCTTTTGCGCTATTGAACACTGAGACCATCTTCGAGTAGCCTATAAGTACCGGATAAGCCTCCAAGCACATCACCATTCACCTCAAACGGGGTTGTGCTTACCAACTTTTGTAATGAGTCGTCCTCCATGCTGTTGCGAGCTTCGAATAGGGTTCATCTCGTCCTGGTACTTGGCTAAGTGGATAAGGATGGCATGTTTGCGGAATCGGGCCAGGATGTACTTCTCCATATAGTCCCTTTCTGTGCTAGACGGATTTCGCAGAGGTTTCAAATCGGACAGGCCAATTTGAGCTGTCAGATCTCGTAGGCATTGTTGAGATTCATCGTGCAACAACTGTACATGCTGAGCAGCTTGGAAATGTTTGTCAAGATTGATAGGGCTGTGGGACAGTGTTCGCGTCAAGCTGATTCGGTCCAACTCCTTCTTTACAGCATCCAATGCTTCCAAATGTGCTTGCGCTGACCGTTCGGCTTCGAGAAGTCTCGTGAACTTTTTCATTCCGGCTTGGTCATTGTCTAGACCATAACCAGCATAGGTCAATGGTGAACATGGGATTGGAAACAGACATACAAGTTCGAATGGAGAGCTGCAAAGTCTTTTGCTCTTCCCACTGGGATCGAAGGAAAGGAGTTGTGAATCCCCTGTCACTCTCCAAATCTTTAAGAAGATCCATCAGAAGCACCTCCTCACGGAGAATGGTGGCCAGTTTGGACCTCGCCAATGAAGCAAGACGGTCTCGGCCACGGATTGCAATCTTCTTGATTTTGTTGTGATTCGTTTAGCTGAGAACCTTGGATAAGATAGGGTTGTTGAACAAACAGTGTTTGGCCTGGTGAGACTCACACTCATTATGCATTCAGGTGCTATTGTATCAACAATTAAGGACCATAGCCGCTCATTTCCTTCCCCGTTTGACTTTCCAAACCCATTTCGTTTCCTGGGGTGAAATGCGATTTGACAACAGAATTGATGTGCATAGGCATGGAAGACTGAAACGGCGATGCTCAATCTAGGAGCGATTTCGGGAATGAGATTGTACTTTGTTTGTATATCAAGAGGTTGTACCTGAATGCTATGCAAAGTCATACCTTGGCAATTGATCGATCGAGAACACATCCAACATCATACATTAATCCAATGGTGGCGTTTGAGGGTAGTTGGCGGTTGAGTGCAAGGAGCATGGCAATTGAAAAGTGCTGCTGTTCACCTGGAGTGCGTACATCGCAGAGGAAAAGGGGGATATCATGACGGCATACAGTTGCCATCAGACCCTTCGAACGGAATGTATCCGTTTTCGAGGCAGTCCGTTTTCCATGTTTTGTGGCTCTGTGATTCTTCACATTCATCAATAGCACCATCCGGTACAAGGGATGAGGGACGAGATTCTTCCGAACAACCTCTAGATGCAGCTCATGCATCAGAGACATGGAGGGCAGCTTCCTCAATTTCGGCATTGGTGAGGAATGTACAGGTTTCATTCCAGGGAAGGACCATGTCTCCTCCAACGAACATGTACTGCCTATGTTGCATATTACCATCCATAGCGACGATGACATCAGGACATCTAGGGAAACACTTAGTATACCTGTTCTCAGAGGACATCCATGAGAAGACTAACTTGTTGGCTTGTCACGGCCCCGCAAAGTCCCCGCCCCTCTACCACTTTCTGCACCCCCATTCTTACGCCGTTACTCGCGCCGTTAATCTCGCCATTGCCCATCACTTAGCGGCGCCGATAGTGGTTCCCGTTCTACGGCCCCGTAGCAGCGCCTCCTTCGTTTTCCCGCCACCACTTGGGTTCCTCAACCATTCGGCCGGTATCGTTTTATTCTATTCACTCGCTTAACTAACTAGCGGTTGTTATGGTCGCCGTTGATCCGCTCCTTATGGACATTCCTTATTGACGATTGATTATTCCTTTATTGATATTTGATTTATACGTATATTGACATTCTGACCCGCGCGCCTAGATTGTCGGCTTATCCTTTCTGCCTCCCAACTTCGCCGTTCTCTGTCCCATTCATCTCTTCTGTTCCATTACCCTGGTCCTCATCGCTCTTTAGTTCTGTCGTACTTATCATCTCGTTCCCGTCCCGCGCCGGACCGACCGGTCCCTTCTCTGTTCTCCTTTCCTATTTATACTTGTAGTTTACTGTCGATGTACCTCAGTTCGAATATCGACTAGAATTCCCCCCAAGTACTTTCATCTTAAGTTCGCCCCTCAGCTTCATCCCGCTTAAGTCAACGTCGCCGCAAGGTCCTTCCCGCTAACGTGAAATACGGGACAGCCTAGAACGCGTGGCGCAACGCTCTGGCAAAGTCGTTGAAGCCGAAGTCCCAACCCCCTCGACGCCTTGCAACGGAGTAGCTCATTAGCTAAGTGACCACTTACGCCGCCGTACTCCGCCCCGCTTCCCGCGATCCCCTCGAACATAGTTTCTGACATGGCTGAACTACCCCATATCAAACCTCCAAAACATTGGGGGCATCTCGCATGGAGGTATGGGCTGGCGGTGGTGTCGGATGGGTTGCGAATGAGCCTTGCTCGCTCAGGGACCATCGACGGAAGATCCTGTGACGTCTTTGTGAAGGTTGGGATGCCGTGGTCAACAGATACCATGCCATGGGATGTAGCGACCGAAGGATCTCCGTTGTGAGCAGGAACGGCGTGGATGGACCCGGCGGACTCGGCCAGCGCGGAACGCCATAGCGGTGCATTGGGTGCCGCAGGGGATGAGGGATGGAGGAATTCTCTCTCCGTTTCAACGTCTACTAAATCATGTAAGGCCTGGAACCAAGTGATCACCTCACTAAACGACTGGAGAAAAGGGTCCTATATGAACGCCAGATCATGAACGTGCCAATTCCTGACAAATAACAAATGAATCTCACGTTGTGGGTGAACTTGTAGCCATTCTCTTGTAACATGGAAAACAAAGCGGCATGAAAGGAGGCAGCCGGGGTATACGAGTCCACATGTAAGGCTGAATACAGCGAAAGGACGTCGAAATGGAAGGCAACTTGAGGCATTACAGGTGACCCCGGAAAGTAGCCAGACTGGATGATGCTAAGCGGGAGAGTATTAGATGGACATTCACAATATTCGAACATCCACCGCACGGCACCTGGCCCAGGGTCATTGGGTCATTGTTTGTTGAGCGAGATCAGAACGGAAACGTACCTGAGAACGCGATCGTCATGAGTGAATGAAACCGGGGAGACGCATTGCAGTGAGAGCACAGCGATACTGCCGGTGTTTGTAGTTTTCCGTTTCTGTCAAATGACATCTCGCTGGGGGTGGCAAGGGGTATGCGTCCTGCCTTCTTTGCCTCTACTTCTAGATAGATTTCCAGTGCGTTGTGTATTATATCGCGGCACCAATGGAGCCATGCAGCTTGCTTTTGCGGATTTTGTAATGCTCTCTTGGCCCGTTTTTGGGAAGCTGACCACGAAGGTGTAGGGGGTAAGGCGGAGTCTGGGTTTGAAAGAGCGGGTTCTGCGATACCTTCCAGCCAACCTTGAGGTGATGCCTCCCATTTCGGTGATTCCTTTTTTAGAGCCGGTGTTGAAGGGGGAGTCGAAACATTGCTGGCATCTGTTGATATTGCATTTCCTACATGATTGTGGCGATTTGGCACTGGCCACCAATCTCTAGATGCGATTCCAGGCCCCCAGCGTTGGGTCATCACAGTGCCACTGGCGTTTGCTATCTCAATGCGTCGCGATGGCTGGGGAATGGGGACTTCAGCAGTTGGAATGCGCTCATGTCCTTTCTTTTTGGATGTTGAGGGTTTGGATTCAGGTGCAGACTGGCCACCAAGGAGATCCACATATTTTTTGGGTTTGCTTAAATTATACGGGTGATACTTTTTTACAGGAGAGGTAGTAAGGCGAGGAATTACAGGCTTATGCCTCGGCATGGTATGTAGCCGTTAAGAGATAGGGTGAATGGAAAAGAACAGGACAGGCTCTTCTCAACAAGTATGCAGCGGTTGCACGGCTAGTCTAAGATATACTCAGTCAGCTGCACATTCAGTCAGTGTGTGTAGCTGTGGCGCATACCAATAGGCAAACAGGGCAATTGGTGGGCAGTGGAGCAGTGGTATGGCGCTGGAACTATCAAATATGCAGTGGGGCACACGTCGGTCGGATGGGAGCCCCAGTCAAATTGTACCGTTTCTCTCAGCACTTGGGTGCCAGATGGGGTGCGCGTAGTATCCAGATGAAATGCGAATACAGGCTTGCTAAGACGGACTGGATAAAGGGTGGCGCGCAACACAGGGTAGAGGGTGGTGAGGAATTTAACGAGATTGTTAGCCCTCAATGACAGGGAGAGAGGGGCGTAGCGTTGGAACTACTCTTATAAAGGTATTTGCTACAGGGTATGGAGTACATGGGGTAGGCTGGTGGCGAGCGCATGGTGTTCTTGTCTAATTGCACCGCCGTTTCTCAAGTCGCTCAAGCACAGGGTTTCGGGCGCATGGTGCACAAGTGGCGAATGTGAATACGAGTCCACTAACACGGATTGGATGGCACAATTGGTGGGTGCAGAAGGTCGAGGGTGGCAGAAGGGTAAGGTTGAGGTTCGTGTCTGATCGCACCGTTTGGCACGTCACGTAAGCGCCGCTTGGTGTGCGAGTGATGTCCAGAAAGCCAAACCTGAGTACGAGACCATGAATAAGGATTGGATGAATCGACAGTACACAATCCGGGGCAGGGACAATGTCCACCGAGTGGGATTGTTAGTGCCGTTTGATGTTAAAAGATGATGCGCAAAACGTTTGCTGCAGTGCCAGGAATGCCTAACCACAGGCAGTGAGACTTGTGGGCCCATACACGAGTAACGCTGAACTAGAAGTTTGGATATCGGCATGTGATGTAATGCACTGTTTGGGTAGAAGAGCTGATTGGGGGGGTATGAATGTCGAGTGTACTGCGCAGGATTAGAACGGGAGGTTGGCGTTGCAGGGGGTGGGCAAGAAGACCAAGATGACCGTGAGTGCCAGCGGTGTTGAATACAACCTCTGGCCCTCGTCAGTCAAATATCTTCACGGTAACCGTGATTCACTAGCGATGCATGAAGCACCTCTAGTCATCTGCGGTTAAGGATGAAGAGAAGAGCCCTCAATGATATCTAGAAAGTTTTTGTTAGCTGCAACGCCGAGAGCAAACAGGGAGAACACTAACTGGAAATGGAGTTTTCTATGAGCGCAGAGATGGCCAACAGGGCTGGAAAGGATTGTGCATGGCAACCCTGAGCTGTGGAATGGAGTACAACGTTTACATGGCACAATGTCAAAGCTGGGTGGGATCGATAGATTTTGGGCGCTTACGGGACATGTGGATGTAGAGCCGCGATCAGAGGTTCAACTCATACCTATATGGCTGTAGTAATATAAAGGATCGTGTGTGGCAACCTTGAGCTGTGGAACGGTGGATGGTAAAGCTGGGTGGGATCGACAGATTTTGTGGGTGCTTACCGGGATGTGTGGATGTAGAGCCGCAATCAGGAGTTGAAGTCGTATCTATAGTGTGACATATGTTATACTGGCGTTAATTGACGCGCACATCACCTACAACGGCGCTAACGAGTGTGATGGAGCAGGTGCCTCAGCTTTGGCCAGGCGGCCATTTGGAGGGACATGCATACCCCACGATTGTATTGGTTCCCACGGGGATGAGTGTGGTCAAAACAGGTCAATATGTAGTGTCCGAAACGAGAGTTTAGGACCACTTTAGCTCATCCTGAAACCCGCTCCACTTTAAGATCATGCGTTGTCCTCTAGTTTTGAAATTTGACTCCGAGATATCCCTATCGTTTGTCCTTCCCCAATGCCAAAGTCGATGACGCATCGGAGGATGCTTTGTTGCAAAAAGCCCTCGGTGCCAAACAGTCCGCAGAAGTAGCCAAGTTAAATCGTGAGTTGTGCGCAATAGACTCTCAGCACAATCAGCCAATCTCAACTTCTCGAAAGTGAATTACAGTCAGATGGCACCTCACGTCAATCTGGACCCTAGGCAGGGGCTGGAAGACGCACCGTCCTTTGAACTTTACCGATCGCGGATCCCTATGACCATCTTTCGGGGCATTACTGCTGACATTAACAAAATGTTTTTTCATTATGGGCCTATGCCGGCTCATGGGAACGAGGTGACGAGATCACGGTTTCTTTCACCGGTGATAAGCAGTAATCCCGTACCTGAGCGGCCGCTGACGATACCATAGATCTTCAATTGCCTCGTGCCACTTTTCGGATTACACATACGTACCACGCCGGAAGTGCAGCTGGAAGGAAGCAAAGGGAGAGTCGATTACCAATTCATTATCCTACCATTACCGTCCTTTTCGTCGAGTATAAGAAGGCCGTGGGGAATGCCACTGAGCACCTCAATGCGGTCGCACAGCTGATTGCCGGATGTAATGGTGAATCATTCTCCGACGCCGACGGAAAAGCCATCTGATCGTCTTTCTTTCTTGCTGCAGCTGGTGATTTTGCTAATCAGCGTACCTACTTACAGGTCCCTGTCTATGGCATCTTGTATGATGGGAATGCATTCGAATTCTTCATGTTCTCTCGCAACACCGAATCTCCCAGTCAACCTTCATTCTTCTGTGGCTTACTCGAAGACCCGACTGGATCGAAAGACATAATGCCATTGGCACTACTTACTGGGAAATCCAGTGCCCCGGACTTCATGAGGGACCTTCGTCTCATTTGCGAGCTTTGATCTTCTCCTCAAGTCATATATCAAGTGTTTGACACAGTACTACAACATTTCACAGGAGGACTCAAACCCGGGACTGAAACGGCCCAGCTTGGACGGTTGGGATGCAGCTATCAAGAGTGCCAAGGAGGCTCTTGACATATGTCGGCAAGCAGATCAACATCACGCAGCAGGCGAATGGGAAGCATCCAATGCAAAAGCGGAGCATGGCATGCAAATGCTAAGATAGACGACTTTCATACCTCAGTACTATCCGGATGCAAATTGTCGCAAAATTTGCGTTGCGGCTCATTTCTGCCACAACACTTCTGAGGCTAATGTGGCACCAGGAAGCTGTACAACTAGTGTAGTTTTGTAGCTCCCTGGTTTCGGAATTTTAAAATTCTTTGTTATTGCCAAATAAATCCCAAAATACTTTATGATGTTGGAATCAACGTCTCTTTTAACACTGACTACAATCCAATTAAAAAAAAAAAAATCGGTTTCAAGTTTGACTCGCATGGATAGAGTAAAATTGAATTACGGCTCTTGCCGAGTACAGAAAAGGAAACCATTCATATTATACCCTTTCCCTCCCAAGTGCCAGTACACAGAAAGCACTGCCTAATAACCTCGGAGACTACTCCAAGAAGGTATAGTGCCACCTAGCCAAGGGGGTGTCCATTCATTTTCGACTATTAAAACATAGAAAAGCATGTAAATATTAATATAAAAGTAGAAATGGCCTAAATTGATAGCAAATTTTGTTGGAAAACAGTGTACCAGCATGGCCAGGTGAGTTTTGCTGCCACGCTCCCATGGCTGGATGAGTACTACTCTATTTTTTCTTCGGACTTATCCGTGCCCGGCTATATGGGAGATTCCGTTCCTTCAATTCCCCTTTTCCCTCAGTTCCCTTTGGCATAATAGCTTGAGAATGAGTTGCCTGCTTTGCTAGCACACTCAAATCTCTTCAAATTTCCATTCATCATAAGTAAGTATCCTGACCAGGAATATTGACCGTGTCATATCCATACAATCCCGACCTCCGCTCCGGGCTCCTGGAACTCCGAACTCCGACTTCCGGAGCCCTACTTCCCTTCCATCACTTTCTCCTTGCCGACTCCCAAGAGGTTATCCCACCTCCGGCTCGGACACCACCTTCGGTCCGACTCCGGAACATTCCGGGTCCGACCCCAACCTCGACACCTTCCAGACGAGTACGCAAAACCTATGCTCCCAACTCCGGACCTCCGCTCCGGTATCCCGTTCACATCTCGTCTCCGGAACCTCCGGTCTTAGCTCCGACCTCGGACTTTGACCCCACCTCCGCTTATACCCATTGTATTGGTTAGCTCAATCCATTTAATTACCTTTGCCAATATTCCGGAGTTTAACCTCCGAGTTCGGACTTTCCGGACTTACTCCGGACCTTGCAACTATTGCATTGTCCATTTCAATTCCGCTATCTCCCTCATTCCTATTTGGGCTGCTGCTTCCTTTCTATTCAGTCAGCTAGCCATTCCCGACTCCCATCCTCCTTCCTTCCTCCTTGGGCCTTGGCCCTTCATTCCTCCTTTGGGAAACACCATTGAGTCAAACACTTGACCCTCGGTGTTGTTCCTCTTCCCATCTCCCTTTGTCTCCTTTCGTCTTACCCTTGTTCCTTTTGATTCCGGACCCCTCCTTATATACAATGTACCTAGTAACTTGTAACCTCAGTCCGAAATCGACATGAATTCCCCCAAGAGACTTTCCCTCTGCTAGATCCGAAATTAGGGACCCCTAGGACAACCAGCAATGGCACAGCGCTCCGCATGAGTCACTGAGGCCGAGGTCCTTCCACAATAAGTCTCCGATTCCATTCCGGAGTCGTCCGAATCCGCCCCATTCTAACAGACCGCTCGTGACCTTGCACTGCCACACTCGGCAAATCCCGGCATAGTGCCGAGGTATGAAAGTTGTCTATCTTAGAAAGAAGGTGAGTGCAAAAATCACCCCTGATGCTTCAGCTCACTCAGTTCAAGTGTAATTACTAAGAGTTAGGCTGAGGAGCGTTCTCGATGAGTTTATGAAGTGTGAAGCGATGGTCAATTGGTTTTAGAAGTTCTTTACCTTGCTTGCAAGTAGGGGTCCGGGTGGATCGGATAGGATCGGATTAGGATCAGAAATCCCGGATTGGGGTACCTCCCAATGGTGTCAGGGGACAACTCCTGGGTCCCCATGACCCTCCCCTATGGTCCACAGTCCCAGGTGTAACCAGCCCTGTCCAGGGCACAACCTACTGTGGGTCAGATGTTACGGGGATGGGGGAAATTCCCCATTCCTCGATCCGTTCTTATAGTGGGATGAGTGAGGTCATATCTGGTCTGTACCATAACAGGATATGTAATCGATGAGTGATCCCAGTCTTGCCTGGGGGTGGACGATCGAATTCCCATCGATCGTGATTGGTGATGTAGTGAGCTATTAAGGGATTGGTGGTAGGTAGTCGGAGATGCCAGGACAGCCAGGTCAGCCATGGGTACTTGGCGCTCCTCAATGGAGTGTACCATGTGTGAGGTTGCGACTTGTGAGATGGGTGAGAACTTCATATAGTTGCCATCGGGTACTTGGCATTTGCAGTGCGAACGTACCGGTAGCGGGTTGATGTCATAAGTGTGCAATGAGGATTGACTAGTAGGGCCTTTGGTGACTTGGCGTTCCCAAAGGGAACATACCGTTGGCGGGGAAACATGATGACTGGCGAAGGAAGGAACAGACGGTGGATGGGCGGCGACTTGGCATTCGCGTAGCGAATGTGCCGGCATCACGGGAAGGCGGGCTTCAAAGTATTCATGATCTCCATGATCGTGAGGTGACGTCGTAGGTTGAGTACTGGGGGGAGAGCGGAGTGATGAAGACCCATAGGGTACAGATTCAATAGGACGATACACATGTCGAGAGTCTTCGACTCTCGACCTTGAGTTCTCGCGGCGAGGGCCGTTAGAGGACTCGATATAACCAGACTTATAAGACATATTGAGAGTTGTACAGTCACACGGGTTCAGTTGAGTCACAGGGAGGGTTGTTACAGAAGATGGTACACGAGACAGTTGTAGAGCAGTTGTTAGTTAGCAGGAACCGCCTTCGGCGGTTTCCGTACAAGACACGTGACTATCTACAAATGGTAAGGTCGCGGGAAATCTCGCGAAACACAAACAACCTCGGCCAGCACCAAAACCCCAATGGGGAAAGCTTTGCACGAGGGGGGGGAAAGGGGTAGAACGGGTAAGGAGGATAGGGTATCGGGATAGAGGACGGAAGGGAGAAAGAGGGGAGGAGCGATAGAGAGGGGAAGTCTTTGACCATGCGACGGATATGGTCGTTGGAGACTCCGTATCCGTAACATCAGAGATGAGAAGGAAGTTAACTTCTCATCTTCCCACAGTGGCCACAATACATCGAAAACTTCCGGAGATATCCGGAAGTCACATGAGACCCAAGACCCAAGGTCCGGGCCATCCGGCCACACTGAGCGTCCGGCACAGGGCACGTGTGGGGAGTGCAACAGCCAGGTGCGGTTGCGGGTGTGGGTGTGGATGCGGGTATGGGCTAGGTCAGGGTGTATGCCCTGACATCACCCTCTCTCTAAGCCACTTCACCCCGAAGTGGCCCTAGTCCCCAGGTAACTCGTCCTCAGGTGGTTTAGAAAGAAAAACAAAAGATAAAGTGAAAGCGGGAATGGGGATAGTGTGGTGGTGGGAGTGCAAAACTAATCTAAGGTAAAAAAAGGGTCTGATGAAATGAAAAATAAGAGCTAAGTTAGAAAAGATTAAAGTAGTCGTCCATTGCCGTCCATGCGGCTCCCCTTAAGACTTGCCGGAAAAAAATTTCGGGTCCTCAGCACCCTCCATCCTCTGCTCATGACTTGGTGACCTCCAGCCTGCATCCCTTGTCATCCTACAATGCCCTATGGCTACAGTCGTGTCGTCTCCGTGATCGCATCCGGCCTCGGGTAGGGTGGTCATGCAGCACTTGACCTCCAGGCCATCATCTGCATGTCTGCACTCTGACCTCCGGGCTGCGCTCCTCCGGGTATGCGGGGTCGGGGGTGTGGTAGCACCAGGGTAGCGGCACTAATGGGAGAGTCCCAGGGGATCCGGCAGGGTGCCACACCCCACACCCCACCCTCCCTCTAATGCCACTTCGCCCCGAAGTGGCTAAACCTAACAAAACCTCCCCCTCCCCCCTCCTCTGTGCATGGTGGTCCGTTGCTTGGGATGCCGGGCTCCTCTTCAGGGGTGGGTGGGGAAAATGTGGAAGGGGGAAAAAATTCGGGGTGGGGTGGTGGGTGTGCAGTAAAGTTAATCGCACCCATCTCTAGTGAGACTGGGCCATGTGGGGTCGCGTGCGGGAAAAAACTCTCCTCCAAGTGCATCTTGCACCTTGGGGAGTCTGGGTGGATGGATAGTGGGGTTGCTGTGATGTGGGCTGAGCACCACCCTCCCTCTGTGCCATGTGCCTAAGCGGCCACAGCAGGGAACCTTGGGCTCCTTCATCAGCTCTTATCCATCACCTCTCATATCCATCCTCCATCAGAATCCTCAAGTCAAACTCTCTCCTGGGTGCCCGGCACCTCAGGGAGTCGGGTCTGTGAGCCATCGCAGGTCCGTGATGTGGCTGGGATACACAACCCTCCCTCTATGCCGCATGCCTAAGCGGCCATAGCAGGGATCCTGGGCACCCTCACCAGTGGCATCCATTCCCTCTCGTGCGCATCCTCTGTCATGAATCCAAAAAAGGGCACTTGCGTGTGCACGTGACTCTCAGTCACAAGTGAAAGCGGGGGTGGGTGGTCTTGTCCGGGTTATCCTGGGCGTCTGCAGTTACGAGGCTGGCAGTGGGTGGATGACCCCGTTTCTAGAGTGCTTTTCGGCCAGTTCATTGGCAGCAGTCAGGCGGCTTTGTCTCCCTAGCACATTCAGCGAGGTGTCCAGGTAGCGGTGGGATAACATGGAGGACCGGGTGGGTAGTCTCTAGCGGGTCATCGTTTTTGCATCTGCAGTTATGAGGCTGGCAGTGGGTGGGTGACCCCGTTTCCAGAGTGCCTTTCGGCCAGTACGTCAGCAGCAGTCGGGCAGCTATGTCTCCTTAGCGCGTTCAGCGAGGTGTTGTCATGACTGTTATAAAAATGGGGCCTAATTGGCCCATTTCTATAGCATTCGGGTGCAGGAGGGGGCCGTGACATTGAGAAGATGTTACAATTAA